AGATGGTTGGGGCTGTCCTTCCCATCTGGGATGGGGTGGGATGGTGGCCACCTTTCTGAGCACCCGCTGTGTGGTAGTGAGGATGAGCTGTGAGGGATGCATATTAACACCTTGTGTGGTTCTGCTTTTGCTTTTTGTGCTCGTTAGGAATTGCAACACTTCTGTGTCATTGAATTCTTCTACAGACAGTGACTTCTCTAAAGAAATACTTGCTGTTGCTAGCAAAAGTGGAGCAATACCTGTGTTGGCTAGGGGTTTTCTTGCTGGAGAGGGTGGCCATCTGGAAGCACAGAGGTGCAGATGACTTCTGTATCTTCACAGTGCTTGGGACTGGCTCCATCTGTGATGCAGATGGTGACTGCGTTCTTCAAAAGGATGAGCTGAATGAAAGCAGCCTCTCTCTTGAAGGTTTGCCAGACTCAGCCCCCTAGCAAATCCATCATTTGGTTCCCTCTCCTTTGCAAACAGACACAGGAGAGGCAGGCCAAGACAGTAAGTGAAGAGGGGGAAGATGATTGACATCAGCAGGGAGTTGTGGATTAGTGAGTCAACTGTACACAAATGTGATTTTAAGTTATGCTATTGTATTGCAACTACTAAAGGCGTGGTAGAGCCCAGAGTCAGATCCAAGAGCAGAGGGAAAGAGGTAGAACAAAGCACTGGCCCAGTGGTCAGGCAGCGGGAGGAGAAGCAGGTCCAGTGCAGGACATCTCCAAAGGGAAAATGAAATTTGAAGAAATGGAAAGTCAACAATACTAATGACGCCAGGAGACCAACAGCACCAAAAGCTGCCCTGAAACTTGGCTGGAGTAACTGGTAGAAGCCCACAGTGAGGAATCTGTGTTTTAGATTTTTTACAATATGTTTAAACTTTGTTTAATCTTTTCCTCTCTCCCTCCCTGCCCCCCAACACTGTTGCTTCAGAAGAATGTCGATGTGGCTCAGAAGAATTGCCTCCCACTTGTTGTCATACGCATTTTGCATTTTCTGTTGCATCAAACAAAGGAAGGCACTGGCAGTACATTCGCTGTGTCTTGCTAGTAGCACACCCACATTTTTTCCTTCTAAAAGAGTTGATTGCCCAAACACTTACACTTTTGTAGATAAAGAATTCAACCAAGGAGGAAATATGCTAATAATTCTCTAAGCTGCTAATAACTGCAGTTTACTAAAGTGCAGCAGCATTGTAAAATGACACTAATTACCCAGTTGCATCTTGACTTAAGCAGAAATGAATGCACATTCAGAAACTATGTAAATGTAACAGTAACTTCTGGAAAATCCCGGTCTAGATGAGCAGTGTATGGGAATCACTGTGAACGCTGTGTATTGCTGACTACAATTAGGGTTGAATGCAGCCCTTTTCCCATTTACAGGCCTTTGTGATGGTGCAGGCTTTGAAAAGCCTCCTCCCTGTAGGTGGCAAATACAAAGCTGTTGGTACATACTTATCGCCCAGGAGCAAAAGCAGCCCCCTGGCAGGCTCGCCTCCTTCTGCCAAACAGCTGAGGCAGGGGGTCTGTGTGCATCCCACCACCCTCCTCCTCCAAGCCTCCTCCCACCCAACGTGTGCCATTTTCCCAGAGTCATCCAGTTCACCTGGACAGGCTCGGTGGCCTGGACTTGTCTTGAAAAGCTTCCTTTTGTCAGCTGCTTCCATCCTTATGATCTTCACCGTTACCTTCTTTGGGTAATTCATTAGTAGGTTGACTTTTGCTCCTCACAGGAGTGTCTGGAGCATACTTTTATTGCCATGACCTCACAATATTGTCCCCAGATTCTGCCAGAATGGGTTGAGGGGAAAACTGGATGGTTTTTTTAATCATATTTTTTTCCTCCTCTAGCGTTCCTCCCTGGTTTCTTTGCCCTGCTGGGAGCCCTCCTCCTTACTCGGTTGCTAATCCCCAGCAAAGAAAGGTTCCCTCCCATAAGTAGCAATGTTTCCTCATAGCTTTTACTGCATAATTGTCTGTCTTACTATATAATGACATGTGCACATGACTAATTGCACAGACACATGCACATTCAGAATTACACACTGTCATAAATGCGTGCCCTGATTAGACAGTTACGTGTATGTGCCTTAATTTTGAGCTGTGGATTGCAGATATGATGAGAGGATGGGCTCTTACTCGTTAAGAAATTGGTAAAATACTGTGCCGGTGGTTCTGTTCCCTAACTTGAATACCCAAACGTGGTAAGATCTGAAATGTTTCATATATTAAAGCAGTGATGGAAGTAGACTTGTTGTAGTGAATGGGGTCTCTGGGGCCATCAGGAGCATATTCCTAGGTCCATGGCGTGGGGGCACTCGAAGCACAGGACTGGGGGGCCCTTCACCTCTGGTTTGGCTCTGCAGGGAAGTGGGTTTCAGTGGCTGGGGTGTACAGCTTCATTACCTGACTTTCTGCATCCATTGAACATATTTTCATGTGGATACAGAGGACATGTAGTTAGCTGCCAATGTCACTAGTGGCTTTGATCTGTCTGATTAGAAGCAAATATTAGCAGGAGCATGATGGCTTGCTCATGGTTTGTGTGAAAGGAGAGGAGACGGCCAGCAGTCCTGTGCTGACACCTGCATCCCTCTGCACAGACTGCTCCAGGCAGCAACATCCCCCATTTTGCACCAGCAAGTCTTTGTCCTGTCACCCGAGTACCTGTTGTGTCATGGTACCTGGGGCTCTGCAGGCAAACCAAGAGCAATTCTTGCCCTTCCATGTTAAAAGAAAGTTTATTCTTTCATTCCAGCTGTTCCCACTCAAAAAAGTAAGGACTTTTTATACCGGTTATTCTGTATTTGTTTGCGGAACATCTGATTTCTTGAATATATTTTTAAGATGACTAGAGAAGAAACTGGCCTCATCTGGATATCTAAATGGTGAAAAATGCAATACGCTTTAAGAAAAGCACTGCTAGAAACTTAAGCTGAACAATTTCTTGGTTCAACAGAAAGCAAAGTGCAAGTAGAACCAGTGAAGTATGTCAAGTTTACATATAGACAAAAGCAGATTGTTTTTAAAGGTTTTTCCTGATGTTAAACACAATTAAGAAGAAAATATGTAGGGGCTGAAGTCAGCATTGTCTTCAATGGAACACCTCCCTTACAAGGAAAGGCTCAAGGAGCTGGGACCCTTTAGCCTGGACAAGCGAAAACTGAGGGGAGACCTTATTTATGTTTATAAGTATCTAAAGGGTGAGTTGAAGGATGTTGGAGCCAGACTCTTTTCAGTTTCCAGCAATAGGACAAGGGGCAACGGGCTCAAGCTAGAACATAGGAAGTTCCATTCAAATATGAGAAAAAACTTCTTTACAGTGAGGGTGACAGAGCCCTGGAACAGGCTGCCCAGGGAGGTCGTGGAGTCCCCTTCTCTGGAGATCTTCAAACCCACCTGGATGCAGTCCTGAGTAATGTGCTCTGGGCAACCCTGCTTTAGCAGGGGAGTTGGACCAGATGATCTCTAGAGGTCCCTTCCAACTCTGACAATTCCGTGATTCCGTGATTCAATTCTGTACAACTACACAATTAGGTAGAAAACTCTTTCAAAGTGCTTTTAGAAAGAGAGCTCTTCTGGCTGGCTAGCTCTAATTCCCTAAGGTGTGCCACATGTTTATTTGCTGCCTGTATAAACCCAGAGACACTGTGACTGTTCAGGTCACTGGTAAGTGCCGTTGAGCTCCTGGCTGATCATCTTTTGCTGTCGTGTGTATTAACAGCAGGCAGGATAAGGGACAGCAAGGGCAGGGGGTGACTAGCAGACAAGGGTGCCCTTGTCGGGTGGCCACAGGGGTGTGATCAGTGCCTTGTGCTTCCCAAGCCCATGCCTCAGCAGCTGTACTATATAGAAACACATCTGGAAAGGGAGACAGAGACCTCAGATACCAAGTTTCTGTTTTAAAACGCTAGTCAAAGTGAATAGATGTCTCACTTCTGGTTTTTGGGCATTATGAGGAGTTAACAAGAGTTAGCAAGTTCTTTTTAAAGAATAATGATGAAAATGCCCTCTTCTTTTCTTTTGGTGTTTCCTTTTTTTGCCTGTAAGCAGTAGAGACTTATATTGAGAAAGTCATTAACTTTTTACCAGCTTAATCAAAAGTTCCTTCAGACTTTACTCACAGGAAGTCCAGTAAGCTGCTTGATGGGTAAAATCTGCCCGTAGCAGAATGTAAATAGCGTTTCCTTGAATACCCTCTATGAGAGCAGAGGCAGCACGTAAGGGAGAAATATGAATCCAGAGCATCTGCAGCTCAGATCAAAGCAGTGGGAGGGAGGAGACCATGACTCTGGTCCTTGTCATGCTCCTTGTGGTGGTCTTGATGCCGTGGGAGTTGCGAATGCTTCCTGTCTCCCAGGTCCAGTCGTGTGTGGGTTTCCGTGTGGGCTGGAGAAAGACCCCATGTCTTTCCAGCACCACGTAATTCTACCCTGTGTTTGTTGACCAGGAGTGATCCACTGAGAAATGATTTCCTGCTGTTGCCATGTCATTTTCCTAACTTGGGAAGAATCGCCTACTCTTCCTGCATGTTAGCATCTGTTTTCTGCAAAACAGGGGCAGTAGTACTTTTCATCTGTAGAAGCATTATGAGATTTTCTTTAACTGTGGAAAGCATTTTTAAGATACCAAGATGATAGGTGTCGTGTGCTTGCATGTGCAAACCATTGAAGAATCTAAACTGCCAAGCCATTAATAACCTGGAAATCCAAAGCTCATTTTTAGTGGCAAACCAGGACACAGACATGAAATAATGGCAAAGTGAGGATGGTAAGCAGGAGGGAGATACTTAAAGGAAATTTAGTTGTTTTAGTACCTTGTCCAGCTTATGGTAAGGTAACTCTGCTTTTTGTGTTAATGATTTGTCTTGCCTTCCCACGCTGAGGGGCTTCTTTAATCTCAAATTTAAGAAGTACTAAGATTTGCTTTCCAGGTGGTGTTTACTCTGCATAAAATGAAATGTTGCTTTTGAGGACTTCATTATAGTTTTGTTCTCTTTTATTTTAGAAATCTTCCAGAATCCCTGAGGATGACATCAGGTTGAGAAAAAACAGAGACCAAAACTGTGCCAATTTCTTGGAGCCAGCTACTGTGCTTGCTACAAAGGAAGAGAAAATGGAAATTGAAGTTCCAGTTTCTGAACATAAAAGCATCACCACAGTGGCTTCACCACATCCCATAGACAATCCAACCCACTTCTTTTCCCCTGCTGCCAGCCACAATGGACTTAAGGACAGGCATGAATCTCTAGACAGTGAAGTTGCTAAAGAGATCAGATACCTAGATGAAGTGCTGGAGGCAAATTGCTGTGATTCCGCTACAGATAATACCTTTAATGGGACATCGTCCCCTGAACCAAGTGCAGTCTCCATTATGGACAGCTCAGGAGCATCTGTTAATGTCAATAATGATTCAGTACCCAGCGAACAGGAAGAAGATGTAGCCAACAAGCAGGCACCCTTGGTTGTTGAACCACGTGAGGGTAGCATAACAGATGAGAACCTGAAATCTAATGGCCATTCCTTGGGTGGACTGAAGGAAGACACTAGGGAAAGTCTGAAGGTGCCAGGAAGTCCCACTTCTTCAAACAGTTCTAGAAGAAGCTCTAAGGATGGAGAAACAACTCTTACAACCCTTAAGAAAGAGGCTAAGTTTGAACTACGAGCCTTCCACGAAGACAAAAAGCCCTCAAAGCTCTTTGAAGATGAGGAAGAGAAGGAAAAATACAGGGTTCGCAAAGTGAGACCATCAGAGGAAATGATGGAACTTGAAAAGGAAAGAAGGGAACTCATTAAAAGCCAGGCTGTCAAGAAAAACCCCAACATTGCCGCCAAATGGTGGAACCCTCCCCAGGAGAAGACCCTGGAGGATCAACTGGATGAAGAGCACCTGGAGTCCCACAAGAAGTACAAGGAGCGCAAGGAGAGACAGCAGCAGCAGGGTGCAACACCAACATCCCCCAAACAGATCAGCTACTCCTTTGTGCCACCAGAGCCGGTCAATGTCAAGAAAGAGGATATTGTCACAGAGCAGATTGACTTCTCAGCTGCCAGAAAGCAATTCCAGCTGATGGAGCATTCAGGTCCATCTCAGGGTCAGGCCCCACCGAGGCGGTCAGGAACACCCAAAATGTTCTCCATCAAACCCTTCTACAAAAGCCTCAATTCTCCAAATGTAGACAGGCCACTGTCCTCTGTGACAAGACCCGTTTCAGTGTGTGGGCAAACAGGACAGCTTGAGGGTAACAATGCCACTGTTGTCAAAGCACAGAAGGTCTCCTGTAGCTCAGAAGATGATACAAGTGCTCAGACTACCACTGCTGACCCAGTAAGAGAGTTACGGTGCAGTGATAGCCCCCGAGCTGGACAGGGCTCAAAACTGTGGGCAGAGGATGGAGAATTCATGAGTGCAAAAGCCATCTTCACAGTGGTGAAGGATGATGGACAGGGTGTGCTAGACCAGCTCCCAAAGTCAGCCAGCGCTTCTTCCCCTCCAGAGGAGCTTGATTCTGGTTTGGATGACTTGTCTGTCAGGTCTCAGGATACCACTGTCCTGGAGACCCTTTCCAATGACTTCAGCATGGATAACATCAGCGACAGTGGTGCCTCCAATGAGACCATGAGCGCCCTGCAGGAAAGCTCGCTGGCTGATTTCTCCCTGCCACAGACCCCACAGGCCGACACTCCAGCAGAGTGCAGGGGCGAAGGCATCTCCAAGTCGTTCAGCGACCTGGGCTGTGACTCTCTCTCCTCAGCCATGGCAGACTCCATGCTGATTGATGACCAGCTGGAGTACCACGCTGGCCTGCTGGTTCAAAACGCCATCCAACAAGCCATAGCCGAGCAGGCAGATAAGGCAAACTGCAAGGAAGAAGAAACCCCATCAGGGAAGGAGATCTCAGTCAAAGAGCAGCCAGCCACCACCAGGCCAGCTCCAGCCTCCAAGGAGCAGCAGAACCCAATGTTCGCGCCACCCCAGGTGTCATCACCAGTTCAAGAAAAAAGGGACACCATACCAAAGACTTCAAAAGAAGACGACTCAGGACTCAGGGAAGGGAAGAGTTCGCAGCAGTCACCTGTGTACTCAGCCAGCCAGCCATTCCTTGTGGAGGAAAACAGGCATGAAGTCAGCTATTTCAGCAAGTACTCAGAGGCAGCTGAGTTGAGGAGCACCGCCTCCATCCTGGCCACGCAGGAGCCTGAAGTGACCGTGGGCCCTTTCAAGTTACGGTCAAGGAAGCAGCGGACTTTGTCGATGATAGAAGAAGAGATCAGAGCTGCCCAGGAGCGAGAGGAGGAGCTGAAGAGGCAGCGCCAAGGTCTGCAGGTGGCATCGAGCCCTGTTGTGAAGAGCGCACCACCCATGCCCACCAGAACCGTGTCTTACAAAACCGCACCAGGTAAGAGCCCAAAGCATCAGAGTGGAAGTGAAATGTGACTGTTGGTCGGGTTAGATTTGGGTTTATCTCATTTTTGAGTGAATACATCATTTTGCAGGGGGCGGCAGGGTTGTCATGACTTCATCTGTCTGGAAACAGCAGGCAGGAGGAGGGCATGGAACAATCCAGCTTGCTTTCTGTGAGCATGCCTGAGGATGTTTTTGTAGTGCAGAAGTAGATGTAGTGCAGAAGTAACTTACATACCCTGCTGGTCATCATTAAGAAACCCTGTGCCTTATTCATCCCTTTATTCATCCCCATCCATCCCACGTTGTAATGTGACGTGTCTATTGCTGTGCTGCCCAGACCACCCACTGAAATTTAGGATCATCACAAGGAGGGAACGGCAGCAGGTTTTTTGCAGCTCTGTGGCTGTTTGGAAGACAAACATACATAGCATTTTTAACAGGCTTTCTGTTTTCTTGCACGTGATGAAGGAAGTGCAGTGGTAGTGGGGAATTACAGGTTTTGGAGTTCTGCATCAGATTTCTTCGTGTGTGTGTTTTGCTTTCTGTTTTCAGGTATTTCTTGGTCATCTTAGGAGTTTGTCTGGTAAAAAGATCTCCACATCTGTGAGTTGCTATGTATTTCAGCTGGTGTCATTTACCACTGAATTAAACAGGCGTCCCAAATGAAATGTTTAATAGATTCAGTAGAAGTCCTCCTCTGACTAATCAGCTTCTGGGTCCTTGCGGTGGCATTCACAGCAGTTACAACATACCACTCTTCTCCTTCCCTTTTTCAAAAAACAAAGTCAAGCATTCATGCCTTCTAAATATAACTTAAAAAAAGAAATCTAAAAAAAACATAAATAGAAACACATGCCAGGCTTGTTTCTGTGTAGTGATTTTTATGAGCACAGATATGCTTTGCAAGTACTTAGAAGTTTTTATTAACAGCAATCATTGTGAAGAAGTATTAATTTTACCCAGAGTACTTGAATTTATACTGGTGTAAATCTGAGCCAGTAATGCTTCCAAAAATTGTGTAGAGTGATCCTTTTCTTTTTGAAAGTCATGGAAAACTTGAATAAGGTCTGGATTTAGTCCATTACCCCAGTCTGATTGTGAAGTTGGAGTGTTATGCAGCATATAAATAGCTAATACTTGTTTTCGTTTCTTCAGCAAAGATTATTTTAATTGTGTTTCTTGCCAAAAAATGTAGCAGATGTTGACAATTTCTTTGAAGTGCTATTGTCATTACTCCTATAGAACAGCATTTTTGATAAGGAGTCTCCATAAACTGAGGTGTTTGAGCAATGACAACAAGTGAGGACAGGGCACCGTAGACCTGAGCTAGGAGTACTGGTCGTGACCACTTTCAAAACTAGCATCATCTGTAGCTTCAAGTGCTCAAAATGAGGCTGGTAATGATTGCTTTTTACTCACGAGTGATGTTGGAATGGCTGCTGACACTAATGCTTATATTAAGGGAGCATCTGGGAAAACAGTTTACTTCTCATTCCTATTTCTCTACACAACAAGGCATTTACTTTGTGTCTGATGTTAAAATGTTCATTGCAAATTACATTCTAGTGAGAATGATAAACTTGTATTTAAAATGAATCATTCCAGACAGTTTCCTTTAAGTGTCCAACTGCCATATGTTCAAGAAAGAAAATTGGGATCTATTAGCCAATGACTCAAGCTACTGCAATTTGCAGCTGGTGACAAGGCAAAGAATTAATTTCTAGGAAAAGATGAGTATGTGGCAATACGTGAGGATGTCATTGATCAAAAAAACCACAAAGAGCATTGCAAAAGTCATTCTTAAATCTTCCACTCTCGGTGCTTTCTAAACAGCGGATGTGCTCAGCAGAGCTCTCAGCTGGCAGAAGTTGGCTCAGCACCCTTGGTGTTGCAGGATGTGGACCCTCAGCTCGTCTCATCCTTGCTGTCCCTTTAGGCCAGCTGTGTTGCAGTTAAAGTTTACAGGCATCTTTAAAAACAGGAAGAAGGGATGCTATGCAGTCCCTTGGAAGATTGCAGCAACTTTCATTTTATTTTCATATTTACAGCATCTTATCAGTATTTACGAAAATAGAGGCAGAAGGTGATTCAGCAGAGGCAACAAAATCTGGCTGTAAAGCTTCATTGCGGCCACTTAGAGAGCAGAAAAGAAAATCTACTTGTGATGGGCACAGTAAGGAATATGCCATAGAACATGGCTGATACTGTAATCTGAATATCTAGTCTCACATAGGAAAATAATAATAGTAGTAGGAAGAAGAAGAAGAAACAGAGATATTTCTGTCACAAAATTGCCTTTCCCAAGGAAGGAATCGGCATTTTTCTTTTAATGTCAGGATACCTGAACGGAAAGGGATTTGAGGATCAAGTCTAAATTTGAAAAAATCTGTTGCTAATCCTTAAGTGGGGAGGTGTAAACTCACCAGAACTCTTTTGTGGAGGTCTTGTAATTAACTTCATAAGCAGTGGCCTACCTGTCAGGTGACTTTTTGGTGTGGACTGGGCAGAGTGGCTTTACTAGGGTTCCTGGTGGTGGCTGGTGGTTTGTTACTCCTGCCCCACTTCACAGCTTTGAACTGTTGTGATGCAGATAACAGAAACAGGAAGAAGGACTGCAGTGAACTGAACTGCTATTTTGACAGAAGTGTGGAAGATTAACACAATTCATGTGGGTGTATGTGTGAAATAACTGCTAATTACTTTAGATGGCAAACAGGCTGTTTTCCCCCTCCTGACACACAACTCTCATACAACTGATAGTAACACTGAACTTGGTGTCTGCCAGCCACCCAACACAAGCCAACGTGGTTCCTAGTAATAAACTTCTATAGTGCTAACATGTGTCCTTTAAAGCTGTTTGGGATGCTTCAAAGCAGCCTTTCAACCCATCTCAGATGACTGGAGTGAGACACAGAGTAATTTCAGTGAAACAATGGCTATGTTTCCTCAAGAAGACCTTCTTGAGGAAAGGTGAAGGGAAGAACCTATGTGAACTCCTTTCCAAATATGTTTGGTTTCCTGCATGAGGAAACCAAAGAAAGACAAAAAAAATGCTTGAGCATGGCTAAATGGAGAGTCATTGTGGATCTCAAAATATCTGTGGAGCTGTATTTAAATTTGAATGTTTCCTGTGCTGTTTTGCTGCAGTATCTGCTACGCTTGGCAAGGTGTTGAACAGCTGCACAGTGAGGCAGTGGTTTTGTCCTGCGATGTGCAGGTGGTACACCATCCCTCCTGGGCAGAGCAGCTGGTGCTGTTTGATGGTTTATTTGAACAGAATGATTCTGCCCCTTTACTCTGCTCTCGTGAGACCTCACCTGGAGTTCTGTGTCCAGCTCTGAGGCCCCCAACATAAGAAGGACATGGACCTGTTAAAGTGAGTCTAGAGGAGGGACACAAAGATGACTGGAGGGTTGGAGCACCTCTCCTGTGGGGAGAGACTGAGAGAGTTGGGGTTGTTCAGCCTGGAGAAGGCTCCAGAGAGACTTTATAGCCCCTTCCAATACCTGAAGAGGGCCTACAGGAGAGATGGGGAGAGACACTTGATCAGGAAGAGAAGTGAAAGGACAAAGGGTAATGGTTTTAAACTGAAAGAGGGGAGATTGAGATGAGGTAGCATGAAGAAATTCTTTCCTGTGAGGATGGTGAGACACTGGAACAGGTTGCCCAGAGAAGCTGTGGATGCCCCATCCCTGGAGGTGTTCAAGGCCAGGTTGGATGGGACTTTGAGCATCCTGGTCTGGTGGGAGGTGTCCCTGCCCATGGTAGGGGAGTTGGAATTTTTAAGGTCCCTTCCAACTCTAAGCATTCTATGATTCTATGAGTGTGTGACACAAGAGGATCCAGCGCATGTTGGGTGGTATAATTCCAATGTTCCTTTTATTTGGAGTACTTAGACTGTGAAAAAATCATGTCTAACTTCCTGTAGTGCACGGCTTAAGTAATCCTGGTCATCAAAGGAAGTGTGGAAATCATTACATAAGGGGTCTTGGTTGGGTGAAAGCTTTTCCGTTGGAGAGAAACCTTTCGTGAATATATGCTGTCTCAGGATAAGGCTTGGGGAAATCCCTAACACAAGAAGTCATACCTGGGATACGCTTTCCTGAAGCTGCCACATCTGCATTTTTGGTGTTTGTCACCATAGCATTGTCAGGTGAAGCAGAAGGCACGTTGTACTGTCTGCACTCATCTGCAGGCCCTCAGACCCATCTGCATGCGCATCTTGGAGAGCTGCCCACCAAGCAGTTATCTTCTCTTGTCCTCAGTTGATGACCTAGATGAGAGAATTTCAGTGGATAGCAAGAGCCCAGAGGGAGAGTTGCAGATCAGAGATGCAAGTGATCAGGTACCTTTATATTCCAGGTAACTGTTCCTTCCAAATAGTGAGGGATGTGTGTGTGCTGTCTTCTTCTTACTTCTCCTTGCTTTTTTTCTGAGTGACAGCTATGGAACGTGTCTGTCAGAGAAGGCACTTCAGCCTGAAAATCGTTTTCCACTTTAATTTTTTGCTAGTAAATATCTACACTAAGGAAATGTTTCAGGTTCAGCTGCAGCCTACAGATACTTTTTGACTAGTGAGGGGAGAAGTAGAAACTTTGGGGCAAGATATTTTTGGTATTTGTGGCCATCAGAAAATTTTTTATGCCCTATATACATACAAAGAATAAGGATCAGGTGTAATATATATGCATGGACCCCTTTTTAAAATGAGAATTTTGAGAGAGGCTAGAGTAGACATGAGTGATACTGTTTCCTAACCCCTTCATAAGCACCGGCATGAAAAAAGCAAAGTTCATCATTCTCTTCAAGGATTCATCTGGAGTGCTCATCACTCATCCCCTGAGCACCTCCAGGAGTGCCTTAGCAGCATGCTAACCCAGCTCATTTGTCATCTGCTCTCTTATTCCCTCTCTAGTGGACAATGCATATGAAGCAAGAGGATCTTTGAGCGGTTCATTTTTTAATGTTTGCTTGTTTGTGTGTTTGTCCCAGGGCCTCACCTCAGTCACTCTTTCTTCTTGATACTGCAGCAGATCATCTGAGCATCCCTCCTCAGCTTGCAGCGAGTTCTTGGACACCCGTCAGGCTTCACAGGGTGGATAGGTCACCATCACAAACCCTCTGGCTCCCCAGGACTGTGCAGAGGTTTGAGTTAGGAGGAAGCTAATCAGTCCCCAGCTCTTACACAGCTTTGATTCTGCAGAGAGGTGTCAGGCAATGTCTTGCAGCCACCAGCTGGGGACACAGCAGCAGCTGCCCCTTCCCTGAGCTTTCCCTTCCCCTCCCCAGGGCTTAGAAAGAGCATTGTCCATAGGAGCAGCTCCTGCCTGGCCCAAATAGCACAAGAGGCAGGAAATTAAAAGAAATCAAATTACAGGAGCTTCCTACTAGATCCCTGAAGCCAGAGAGTGGAGGGAGAAATAACTGAAACTGAAGCCACAGAACATTTTTTGGAGTCCCTTTGAAAGAGGAGAAAAATGTAAATGTGCAGGTGAAGATTTGGGATGCTATAGCCCTTGCTTGATATCTTGAACCAGCTCTAACAGTGACCTCAGGGGACTACTTTTCCCTGGAGGGGAAGACACTGCTAGGAACTACTGTTAACTCGCCAGTGTGACCATCAGGCTGCAGTTTTTGCTGGTACCCTACAGGTGTGACCCAGTTTACATTTGAGTCAGCACAGTTCCCTTTATTACTCAGCTTGGATTTGGGCAAGGACCACCAGCAGTGTCTGTGTGCATCAGGGATGGCCATGGGACTGCAGAAGTACAAAGTGCTTGTGACTGATCATCATGTCTCATGATGCTTTTATGCTGACTGACGCTTCTGCCTGAGAACAGTACCTTATCTGGATGAAAATCTGCCAGGAGAAAATTAACCCACCAACATTTCTAACATGAGCTGAACTGGCAGAATAGGTCTGCGCTGGACTGGAGCTCTGTGTCAGGTTCACAAGAGTTTTTCTGTAGTTGCTCTGAGAGCCCTGAAGCCTCAGACACTCCATCACCTCACCACAACCTCACTGATGGTTGTGCTGGTTGCTTTCTGCCACCGTTGGCTCTGGTAGGATCTCTCTCTTCCACCTGCCTACCTGTTCTCACAATATTTTTAGGAACTTGAAAAAGACACTTACTCCTCTGTGAAAAGTTGTTGAAATGATGCTGCTGTGAATTCCTCAGTTTTTAGTGCAATTCAAACACTCACACAGAGAAAATGGTTGTATAAGCGCAATTTCTTGTGGATACAAACTGACAAACCACTGTTTTGCTGTAGGCAGATCTCCTTATTACCTTGGCTTCTCTAATTGTGAAAAGGGAACTGTGACACTGTTTATGGTGATGCTGCACAGTAATGCACAGAACAGTTGCATGTTACTGTAGTGTTGCTACTACAATACAGAAAATGATGGGCCTTCCATCCAGGGAGGATGGATCTGCTTGGAGATAGCCCCTTTCTAAAATGCAGATCCCATTTTCATTGTTTTCCAGGGGAAATGGAGTGGAAGGAGCTCTTTTCAGGCATGAGGCTTGTCTGTGGGTCTGAGCATCCTTTGATGTGTCTGCATCCCTGGGGGAAAGAAAAAGAGAAACTTGATTTCTTCCTGCATTACTTCCGTATGTCCAAAACAGTTACTTTTTACTGTAAGAATGAAGTAATACAGCAAGATATCTGACCCTTGATCAGGCCTGTTATTTTCAGCAGACTTTTTACCCACTGGATCTAGTGGGCAAGGCGACAGTTGTTCTTATTCTGTCCTGCTGAGCAGTACAAGCTGTCACACACGGGTGCCACTCAGGACATGTTGTTAGCCCCTGCTTTGGCAGTGTAACTCCTGATGCAACCCAGAGGAGAACCTGGGCCCACAGAAGCTCCCCCTCCAGTCTCTGGTGGGGTGATTTAGTGGGGACAAATTCCCAGCCTCATCCCTGCAGCGGCCAGCTTAAGCTAAGCCTGTAACGAGAAACTAGTAAGGCTGGGGTTTTCCATACTGATCAGAAATGAAACAAGCCCAGGAAAGGGATTTCTTGTAAAAGACTTGGGTTTCACTTCTCCCTTCAAGAATAAATCCTGCTGATGCTTACAGGAGGTTTCAAGGGTGCTCTCTAGTGGCTGCTGTCTCTACTGTCATCATGCTTTTTGGAGGAGCAGCTAAGGTTTCAGAATCATAGAATGGTTAGAGTTGGAAGGGACCTTACAGATCATGGAGTTCCAACCCCCTGCCCTGGGCAGGGACACCTCCCATCAGACCAGGTTGCTCCAAGCCCCATCCAGCCTGGCCTTGAACCCCTCCAGGGATGGGGCATCCACAGCTTCTCTGGGCAACCTGTTCCAGTGCCTCACCACCCTCACAGGAAAGAATTTCTTTCTGGTATCTAATCTAAATCTCCCTCTTCCGATTTAAAACCATTACCCCTTGTCCTGTTTTCGTTTGTCTCAGCAGCAGGAAGTTTAATGAAAACCTGCACAACCCTTCTGGTTACTTCACTTATTTGTAAGGGTTTGGTGGTGAGTTTTTTTCCTCCTTTTTTCCTTTCCCATCCATTGAACCATCTTATTTCAAAGAGCTGATGTGGCATGGAAAAAGGAAGCTGATTTTGGTCCAGCGTTGCTTTCTGCTGTGATAGCTGAGGACCCCCTCATCTTAGTCTCACACCCACAACCTGCTACCATTGTCCTCATTCTTCCCACTGGAGCCAGGTGGGCAGCTCACCCCAGATCAACACCTAGTGATGAGAAGCACGGGCTGTCCTCCCTGGGGAGGTATGGGTCGTCCATCCCCAGAGCTCTTCCACAGCTCATTGCTGGTCTCCTTGCTCTGCCCTGGCTTTTACCCAGCTCTTCAGCTGGGCCTAATCTGCCTAAAACAGGCTCCCCTGGGTGAAATGGGCCCAGTCAGAGAGCAAACTGACTTTGCTCTGACTTTCCTCCCACCGGGAGGCTGAAGGGCCCTGTCTTCAACAAAGGGTGTGTGGGACGGAGACACCATCCTGCTCTGCCACAGATCTCCTTCCAGGAGCATCCTCTGCAGCTCACAGGACACAGCTGCAGGGAAGAGAAGCACCAGGGAGCAACTCAAAGCCTTTTGCACTTCCAAAGCAGATAAAAAGTGCTGGAAGAAGAGAAAAAAACCAGCACCGCTTAACCAGATGCCTTCTTTGGACCATGGGCATGTGGTCCTTGGCTTACCGTGGTGATATCTTATGCATTGTGTTGGCTGAGCCAGAAAAAAAAGCATCTTGTGTTATTCCAGAATCTTACAAACATTTCCAGATCACTGAGATGTGTCGCATAGGAGGGAGTGGGCATAATTCAGCCAGATACTACTGTAAATAATAGTGATAGGTTAAATTTGCATTGTATCATTTGGCAATTTGTCTAGGTTTTGTAAAAACATTTTGTAGTGTCTTGTTGTGGTGCATTTCAGGAAGAGACAGCGTGTTTTAAAAGCCCATGAACGTCCTGATTTACCAGATTGTGTCATAAACTTCATTCTAAACTGTTTCTTCATTTAAACCCCACCGAAAATGCTTCTTCTGCTGTCATCTTTTGGAAACAACTTGTGAGTCCTTCAGCTTAGAAAGGGTCATTTTTTCATGTGATTGCAGGAAAGATAGAGAAGATCAAGCCTCCTCCATCCCCCACCACAGAAGGACACGTCTCACAGTCTGACCCAGCGTCTGAGGAGCCTGCAGGAGCCCAGCGACCCAAGAACCTGATGCAGACCCTCATGGAGGATTATGAAACACACAAAACTAAGAGACGAGAAAGGATGGACGACAGCAGTGTAAGTGCACTTGCCCTTTTCACTTTTTGCTCTGCAATAGAAACCATGACTCATGAGAACCAACATTCAGACAACAAAATTATTTATTTCCCAAGAATCTGCTCAGATTGCTTTGCAAGTGTATGAGGATTTTAACGTTGTAAGGGCCAGTATGTTTGAAAGTGAAGGTTGAGGGCCAATGGAGAGGAAGAGAGAGCATCACTACAGATATCAAAGCCAAATGAAGATTCTTTTTAATTTATTAGGTTAATTAATAATAAGGGCAGTGGATAGCTGCCCTGCAACTGATGTCCTCTCTTAATTCACACATCACCAAGACCCTCCAGTGGGTTATTTTAGTGGCTCTTTGAACTTGGTGGATCAAGCATGCATTCATGCCTGTGTTTATAGACTCCCCAGGTCCCATCCCAGCGTGCTCAGGTTTCAGTGTAAATGGATAACTTCCCTAGAAACCATCCCTTGCAGAACTGGATTGGCAATGTCACAGAAATTAACTTGTGTCCTTCAGGGGGCAGCATGCTGTTTCCCACTAGGTTTGTTGTCTTTATTCCACACAAACAGAAAATCAGTCAGAATTTCAGTTTGTGAAATGGGTGCCTGCATTTCAGTCATTACTGTAGTAGAGTTTAATGCAATTAAGTTGTTATTTATTGGAGGTGCTAATAAGAAGAGCTATGAATTTCATAGCTGGAAGTATCACAAGGCAGGTGCATCCATTATACAACCTGTTTCCCAACAGAGCATGAGGTGTTTCCTACTCAGACTCATTATTTCTGTGGGCAATGATGCAGAAGATAGTGAGATACAAGTGAGGTATAAAACTTCTTACATGGACATAGTCATTGTTATGTGTTTGCAGAAGCAGCTGCAGTCCTCCAGACATTCCCCAGCAGTGTCAGAACAAAGACACCAGCACCAAGGAGCTCATGCTCCACACAAACTGCTTTCTAGTAATATTCATTAAAGATAGAGTCTCATTAGGTGTATAGAAGTTAAGTGAAGGTTTGTAACATGAATATTGCACTATTCCGGTAGCTTTTAATCATCACTGGTGAATATTGCACAATAGCATAAGATAGTTAAAATTAGAAGAAATACAATGTGGAGGGGTACTGCTGCATTTCTGCTGGTTAACTAAAACATAGTAGGAGAGCCAACTCAGAATGGAAACCGATTAGTTTCCAGCACACACCAGAAACTTTCTGGACCCTTCTTCTACCGAAGCTGTTGAAAACCAAGATCTCATCACCCGTCAGGATCCTATTACCACATAGGAAGCCAGCTCATGCACAGGAGTCCCCGCAGCAGCATCTTGGGAAGGAGTCACTCTCTGGTTTCTCCTTCCCCAGAACACCCAGTGAAACAGGGTGGCTCCATCTCCCCCAGTGGGTTCTCTTTTCTGGCACCTTCCCAGAGGATCTCTTTACCTCTCAGAGGCCAGAGACTTGTCACACCCTCACGCCATTTGCAGAAGCCAGGAGGAACTTTAAAAGACAGAGGGGCATAAAACTCCTGCCATGCAAACCAGAACTGGTCCTCAGGAGTCCTGCAGCCAAGTATCCATCAGTCTAGTGGCTCAAAACCTTGGCATGGCAGGTGCTAAGTGGTGACACTTAGCTTGGATCTCACCCTGAGCTTTTCCTCCACCCCCCCGTGATGAGCGAAGGTGACTTGCCCAGCCCACAAAGCAATGGCTTGTGGCAGAAATCTTCTCCCAACAGCTGTGGTGGTCACATGCTATTTGTCGTGCATGTTCCAGCACACAGAAGACAGGCGAGATGGATGTCGTTGGACTTAAACTCCCTCCATGCAGTTACCAGAGTGTGCCTCCTCAGGTGCTTGCAGACCTGCATAATGTGCACCCTAGAAAGCAGGTTGGCCACCATTGCTCAGTCTCTTCTGCAGCTGGAAGCTGCTCTGGGCAGTGTCTGATGGCAGAGGTGTGCTTCGTGTGCCAGCTGGGCTGTCTCCAGCTGCTAGAGCTGCCCCAGGCACTCACCACCCATCGATGTATTTCTGGGGCACTGGTGCCGCTCAGAAAACTGGTGGGATGGATCCTTTCCTGGGAGGAGTTGCCAAGGCTGCAGTGAATTCACAGAGCAGGACCTCAAACCAGGACACCCAGCGCACACCGGAGTCCCCCACAGCGTCGTGGTTTGTTGTCGTTTGCCGTTCTCCTCTTCTCTAAGCCCCTTGCACACAGCCAAACAAGGTTTACATTCTTGCTGCTGCCTACCCAAAATCCCGTTAGCGGGCAGCTCTCCTGCAGAGCCCAGGGAGAGCTTCCTTGCACCAGCAGGGGAGTTTTGTTTCTCCCCCCTGCCTTTTTCCGCTCTCCTTTTGTAAACAACTCCCACCATTGACAGGGGAAAGATAATTCAAATGAGAAGTGCTGAACTTGTACCACTGTTTATTTGAGCTAGTATTTTACATGCCAGGCTAAGTAATGATTATTTCAACAACAAATAGCTTTGATTCGTCAGCATGGGACATTTGACTGTGTGCTCAGGAGAAGGATTTCTGTAACTAAACAAAGGAAAGAGCGCATCACTGGTCTGTTTTAAAAAATTTATTAAATACAGTGGGGGAAGGAGCATAACTGACAGCCAGACGGGCAGCTCCCGCTTGGAGCATGAAGTCCTGAGAGCCCAACGTGGGTCAGCATTGCTCTTTGTGAGTGAGGGGAACCAGAGACTTCCTCGGGTTGTGGGAGCAGCCAGGGTGCTGTGGTACCCGAGGCTGAACAGAGCCAGCGCTGCGGCAGGGGCAGAAGGCAGCAGCCACCATCTCCTGGATGGAGCTGAGGAGAGGTTTGACATCCATGGAAGCTGCCCCTGACATGCTGAGCACACCAACAGTACCGATGCACAGAGCTTCAGTTTCTCCCTACGTAAGGGACACACCAAAAAGGCAGGAGGGTGGCTTCGGTAGGACACCTGCCCCACTTCTCCTTTAGACATCACTGCCTTCTGTCTTGTGTCTGGCTTCAGCAGCTCCAACGTGGCTACTCTGGCCAGGGCTTGCAGGTTTTGCCTTTCAGAGACAGAGGGCAAATCAAACACATCTGCTCTTGGAAGAACCTTGCCGCTCGGGCGAGGGGGGTGGTTTCTTCCAAAAAGGATGTGTTACAGTAAAGGTTTCAACAGGCGAGAAAAAGAGAAAAAGCAGCAGCAAGAAAACAGGTCAAGCACTGATGGTAAACAAGACTGAGACTGGCCAAGCAATGTCATTAAAAAAAACCACTGAACTGACTAATCTTACTTCTTTCTTTTTTTTTATGGCACCAATTTGCTTGGAATCCCCTTCTCTGGGATGTGCCAGTTCTTGCAATTTCTTTGTTTTGTTCTTGTTTGCTAGTTATAACATGCTTGTTCAATGTACTAATGCTGGTCTTTTCCCTTTCTGCCAGTACACCTGTAAATTACTGTCTAGCAAGGTTACTTCTGAGGTACTTTTCAACTGCTTGTTTATTTTTGCTTCCTCTTGCATGGTGGTTCCAAGTGCATGTCGTTGCAGTTTGCATTTTCACGCTGTGTGCCAGTGCTGTTTCATACCAAAACCAGGATGCAAATGTGTGTGTGGGTTATTCCTCCTTATCTCTCATCAACAAATATTTGTGTGGCTGATTTTTCTAACCCTTGGATTTTAGTTACAGTTTCTGGCACGGGAGGGGTTCTAATTGAAGGGATGGGAGCTGTTGCCCAGGACTGGAGCATTCCTGAGGCGTGAAATGAGAACTTCTCCTTAATCCCTGCTAGGGTTTAGCTGGCAAAGCTAAACCTGGGATCCAGGCATCCTCAGACGCCGAGTGAAACTGCTGTGGCTTTCCTTTGTCTCTGATTACAGTGTATTTAGCACTGTCACAACCCCTAGTATTCTGTAAAGAATCCACACATCATCCACATCCACACCTTCCACACTTCCATCTGTGGAAGTAGAGAGCCAGATCCAAGCGCACGGCCTCAGTCTGGTGAATTTTGTGAGCCTGTCCTTGTTCCTGTGTCTTGTGATGTGATGACTGATCAAGGCCCCACAACTTAGCATCGGTGTTGGTCTCATAGTAGGAGAAATTTGTCTAACAGTAGGAGAAACCCCAACCTGCTAAAGAAAGGGTATTTACCGTGGCATCTGGTATTCTAGCAAGGCAACAACTTGCACAGTCCCTACCCCTACAAAGTGCAACAATTTGAAGAGCAGGGAGTTGATTCCAGCTACACCGTTGCAATGTTTGTTGGAACAAGGTCCTCAATAATGTGGACAATTCAGTTGCCTGTAATTTTCTGTGCAGACATGATTGTAAATCTGGACTTCTCTAAGAAACACAAACACATTGGGGAAATGATTGACATTCATTCATTCAAGATCAGTTGGTGTTATAAATGTGGACCTTCCACTATTTCCCTAGTCCATAACATATTTGACCCACCAGCTACCTCAAGGCAAGTGTATGAAGACTTTCTGTCCTGGAGAGAAAAGCAAAATCAAGTCTATGCCATTTCCTATTCATTAAATAATTTAGCGTGGGTTTTATCTGACAGATACAAGCCAGTGATTGATCTTTGTGTAGAGTATTCATAGGGAGTTAATCAGTATAAGAACAGTGGAGACCTGGTTTTAAACACAGTTCCAAGACCTGGTTTTAAACACAGGTTGGGCCTCTTCTCCTCCATAATATCTGCACAATAATCTGAGTTACAATTTATGAACAGTAAGTAGTGATCAGAGCGTTTGATGTTGTGTGAGAGACAGAAGCTCAGGTGTAGATTTTACATCCCTGGCCCTTGGCCTTCTGCTGGGAAGGGTCGTGGGTCCTCCTTGTAAAATGATAATAATGCAAGGAGTAATGAGCTGGAAATGAATGCACATGGATGGGAAAGGGGGTAGAGATGAAAAAGGCTGTAGGACACTGTATGCAGGTGAAAGTATGCCACCTGGCTAATCGCCAGTGTTAGTCTCGGGCTGAAGAAACCATTTGGTTCTCACTGGGAACCTTTAACTGGAGCCGGGCAGCTTTCAGAAGGAGCAGCAAGGCTCGGGGTGTGATGCCCCCATACTCTCTGCTGGCCCCGGAGCTGAGCTGTAGCTCCATAATCTGCTCCAGTGCAGGCAGGTGGCTGAGTTTTAATCATCAGGAGCTGCGATGGAGGTGACCTGGCCATGTTTGTGCCGGCTGGGAGCAGGGGCTTCCATGCAATCAGCCTGAAGGGTCTGCTCTGAGAAGCAGCAAACCCCCAGCAAGGTACACAAACTGCTGGAGTCAAGCTATGTGCAGCAAGCCACCACCTGCTTCGTTAGGTTGATGTTGTTTTATCACCTCCAAATTCCTGCAGCCTGTCTTAAAAGCACATCCGTCTCCTGTTTCAAAGAGATAACTGCGTGCCGGCACCTATATTGGTTGTTTTAATCCTCAAAATCTTCTGCTTTTGTCCTTACAACTATACGTATCTTCAGATTTATGGGATGTTATCCTGAGTTTGCTTAGTATCAATCATGCTGTAGGAGATAACAGCAGTAAGGTGACATTTATGCCACATTAAAGGCTACTGCTGAAAAATTCTGTGTTACAAAGCAGAAAGCCGACATGCTGGATTTGATGGCAGAGAGCACACAGTTTATGTTTTAATACAAACCAGCAACAGTATAATACCATGACTGTCTTGTTTCAGGTAAACACTTTTTTGTCTTGGATACCCGTCTCCTCCCTGTGCTCCCTAGAGGTCTGGGGTGTTCAGTGAATAGCATTAAGTAGCTACAGTAAAGAAAATACCTTTATACTGGAGAAATTCCTTGGCCCTCAGCGGTTCCAGTTTTATGTTAAAGCATTTAGTTTATCACTCCTGAGCAGGAACGCTCACGTCTGCAGGAACCAGCAGCCTGTTCCCTGCCTTTGTGCTTCTGTCTCTTTGTGCAGGGTGTGCTCCCTGGAGACATCTCGTGCAGTGACTTCCCTGCATGGTCCTGCTAGATTTTAGACACCCAGACCTTTGCATTGTCTGGTTTTGTTGCTTTTTAGTTCTTCCAGGTCCAGATGGGAAGAATCACTAAATACTAAGTTCCAGAAAAATCGTGTTGCTTCCACATCGGTTTTGCTGCTACTGTTCACTAAAGATTAGCCTGTGCAGTATAGAAGTCAGTTTTGGGGATAAAAATGCTTTGTACAAAAGCGTATGTGTATTTTGCTTTGTATTCTCTTGTTGCCAGTAAGAGAGCAAATGTTTTTCCATCTGTCGGAGGGAAATTCAGGACAGGTTAGTCTCAGTCTCTAGGATGCATAGATAAATTAATCTTACACCTGACAGTAGTAGCTATTTCAATCTTTTTCTCCTTTTTTTTCTTTATTTTTAAATCCTTAAAAATAAATTAAATCTGTCAGGAAAGAGCCCTCTGCAACACTTAGCAAGACCCCAGACCTGCAAACAGAAGATCCATCATTTTTTTTTGTGAAGAAGTGTGAGGAGTGTTTTTTACAGCCCTATGTATCCTCGTACATTTGTCTTTCCCTCACACCTACTTCTGCTCTCCAGATTCTTCCTCTTCTATTGCAGCTAGCAGTCAAATCACCTCTCCCAAACATAACATTTTATATAACATTGCTTTTTTCACTGAGGTGGCCTTACCATTGGGATGTAGCTGGCTCAGTTCTTCAGCCTAAGCTTGATGGGGCTGTCTGCTTCGTGATTTTTCTGATTTTCGGTGTGCTCCTCTTGCCTGCAGTTACAAGCCCAGCTGCTTCAGGACGCCCTGGCCACCCAAGCCTAGCCCTGCTGGGGTCGCTCACTGCAGTGCACCCCCTGAGCTGATGGTGGGCATCATCGGAGGGGGACACTTAGGAAGCCTTGAGGTAGCATCTTGTAACATGGCCAAAATGTGGCGTGTTACAGAACCCCAAAACAACGACAGCCGAGAACAAAAGCGAAAGACTTTCCTTCCTTCCACCTGCTGTGGAGAGCCTCTGAGCACTGGACTCATGACAGGTCTATGGACAGCCCTGATGTCTGCCAAGAATATTTTAAAATGGAGATCGTTTGCTATTTTAGGCAAGCAGCTTCCTGGGTTGTGAATTCAGTGCTCCATTGAGGAGTCCCAATTCTCCACTCAGTCATTCCAGTTGCATGCTATAATTACCCCATTGTTTCCTCCAGCGGGTCTAAAACTGACATAAAAATGAGGGTTAGTTTAGGTCAAACACTCTTCTCACTAGATTAGAGGAATAATTTTGGAGTAAAGGACCTTTAGCTTATTAGTATCTGCTTTACTGTTTAGAGGGCATTGTTTATCAGCACTAAGCCAGGCACCAATACTTGTTTTCCTACAAATTCAATGCCCTCACAGTATCTCTGATACAATTCTGGAAACAGTTTTCCTTGGAGCAACCAGCACCGTTTACAGAAGTAGACAAGTTTCTGGGCAGATTTGCAGACAGAGGATAAACGGAAGAAACCTTGTTGCTGTCTTTTAAGACAAAGATTATCTGACTGATCCAAAGCAGAAATCTTTTGAGTTCGAGGGCCATCACCAGAGACCATCACGACATTGTGATTTCCAGCAAGGAAGAAACTGACTGGAAACTTGTAAATCATGTAAAATCCATTTTATTTCCAGCTAGCATAAATCTACAGGACAAATTCAGCAGACCTCATTTAAATATACCACTGCTCTGTTATAGTGGCAGTTTTGGTTTGAAAATGATGCTTAATTTGCTTTTTTTTTTCATGTAAATGTCAATGTCCCCTGGGGAAAACAGTAATTTTATGTGTTTTATTTAATCATTGTCCCATACTGGTCTTCCTGATAGTCTCCTGTCTATCAGTATTTGTCTGTTGACATTAAAAAAAAAAAAAAAAAAAAGATTACTGGATTTTTTTCCCCCTTTTTTGCTAACCCTGGAGCAGCTACTGTCTTTTCTTATTTGGAGAAGATAATCAGATGGTTCCCTGATGCCCTGATACCCAGTCCTAGTTTTGCTTCTTGGTTGCTTGGTTTGGGTTGTCTTGCCTGGATTTGGGCACTCAGAATCCCAAACATGTAGTTTAAACTGCAGGTCCTCATCCCTGCAGCAGCAGTATCTTCAGTACACTGATTACAGGCTAATGTCTTGGGATTTTTTTACCGATTTCATTTTTTGATGAATGGTTTGTGAGCACATTTGCCCTCTACTGGGTAAAACAGAAACTGCTCAGCTCTGCTCCCCCTTTCTGGTGGTTGCTCTGCAAACAGAGAAGCCATGATTTTGGGCAACATTTCAGCAAAAAATCCCTCCAGTGGACCTGGACCAGCTTTGTAGCCCTGGCCAATGCCGGGAAGCAGATGGAGATTTAGCTCAAAATCGTCTCTGTTGGCTGGGTTTTGCCTTTAGTTCTTTGGCTTGTTCATAGTCATCATCAAAAGAAACTAGGAGGGCAAAGAAATAATAAATCTGGCCAAAATACACCCTACCTTCAGCTCCCAAATGGAATTCTGGGTTTTATTGTAAATACAGAAGTGTGTTCTCCTTCCTGTGGCCAGTAATTTCAGCTGACAGTTCAGAGCTTATTTCCCAATATTGCCTGTACAGGAGCCCATAGTACCTGCAGACTTTTCCAACCACATCGTGTTACAAGCTGAAAGAAGAGTTTCTTTAGCCTTAAATTAATTACTTTTATTCCAGTCAAGACGTAAGTCCTCACTGCATCTGGCTTTCTACACGGGGGAGTAAAATAGCTTTTTTGAAAGGCCAGCTACTCTGTGTCAGTCCAGGAGTGCGCAGAGCAGTTGCAGGAAGCATTAGGGTCCAGGGATGGCAGACATTGGTTCAGTGAACAGTCATGTATTTGCTGGGATATTTATTTTTTTTACTCTGACTGTTTCAATATTTCAAAAGTTTACTCTTCTGGGAGGGCTGATTTAAAACACATTGAGGGCAGTGGACGTTGGCAGCTTTGTAGTTGGAGCATTGAGCTGTTACTCGGCGTTGGTCAGAAAATGACATTGCCATGTGCTTCTGTAAGAAGAAGGAAAACACCCACTGCCATGCATTATTGAGAATGATAGAATGGTTTGGGTTGGAAGGGATCTTCAAGATTACTTCCAACCCCCCTGCCATGGGCAGGGACACCTCCTATCAGACCAGGTTGCTCAAAGCCCCATCCAGCCTGGCCTTGAACACCTCCAGGGATGGGGCATCCACAGCTTCTCTGGGCCACCTGTTCCAGTGTCTCACCACCCTCTCAGGAAAGAATTTCTTCCAAAGACCTAGTCTAAATCTCCCCTCTCTCAGTTTTAAACCATTACCCCTTGTCCTGTCAGTACACCCCCTGATAAAGAGTCCCATCTTTTCCCCTTAAAGTACTGGAAGGCAGCTATAAGGTCTCCCTGGAGCCTTCTCTTCTCCAGGCTGAACAACCCCAACTCTCTCAGCGTGTCTCCATAGCAGAGATGCTTCAACCCTCCAGTCATCTTTGTGGCCCTCCTCTGGGCTCATTCCAACAGGTCCATGTCCTTCTTATGTTGGGGATCCCAGAGCTGGATGCAGTACTCCAGAGGGGATCTCACCAAAGTGGAGTAGATGGGCAGAAGCCCCTCCCTTAATCTGCTGGCCATGCTTCTTTTGATGCAGCCCAGGATGCAGTTGGCTTTCTGGGCTGTGAGTCACATTGCCAGCTCATGTCCAGCTTTTCTTCCATCAGTATCCCCAAGCCCTTCTCCACAGGGCTGCTCTCAATCCATTTTCCACCCAACCTGTATTTGTGATTTGGATTGCCTTGACCCAGGGTCAGGTATTCAGCTTGACCTTGTTGAACTTCATGAGACTGGCACAGGCCCACCTCTCAAGCCTCTGCCAGGTCCCTCTGGATGGCATCCCTCCCCTCCAGCATGTCAACTGTGCCACACAGCTGGGTGTCGTTGGCAAACCTGCTGAGGGTACACTCAATCCCACTGTCCATGTGTCTGACAAAGATGTTAAACAGCACTGGTCCCAGTACCAGCCCCTGAGGAACACCACTTGTTTGCCCAGGAGTACATGAGATGCGTGTCACGGTAACACCTTTTGGTTTCGTCTGTTTTGGTTTGGTTTTTTTAACTTTGCAAAAACACATATTAAAACTGTTTCTTGCTTTTTTAGTTGATTGCTTCTGTGTGTGCATGTGTGTGCATATGTATAATACATACGCAGCATGTATGTTTTCATATATGTGTATGTGTGTGTGAAAAATATGAAAATATATCAGGGCCCATCTTGTACCATACTCTGCAGGCTGTGGTGGTCCTCCTTGTGTGAATCTCCTCTCCCACATGCATGGAGTGATTTCTCACTCCAAGTTCACTTTGACCACTGTGAGTAGGCTCTCCCGTTGGCCTAAGACCAAACCAAGGACCAGGAGAAGATGATGTGGGGGAGGCTGCCTAGTTCTGCCTGTGGGGGTGACATGCTGAAATAAGCAGCAGACCGCCTTCCAGGCTGCACCTGCAGCTCCAAAGCAGCTTCTGGATGAAGCTACCAGGTGGTTGCTGACTCCTGGTACTGAAAGTGTGCAGGTGCGTCTGGAGAGAGGACCAAGACCCAGGCAGAGTCCACAGGCAGGGTTGGGGCAATGAGAAGCTGGGCTGGTATGGGGTAGCTGGGGCTCCGTTGGAGTAAGCTGGATGCTGCCAGACAGCTCCTACCACCTCTTCCATGGTGTGGCTTTGCTCTTGTGTGCCGTCCTCCCCCCAAGATCTCCACCCTCACATCAGCAAGCGCTTCATCGCATGAGTCCTCCTGGTTTGCACGTGGTGTGGCACTGGGAGCCCCATGGGAAGGACTGGCCCAGCTGGTCCCTGTCTGGTGTCTGGTTCCATGGGCTCCCCAGCGTGAGGTCCAGGGGCAGCTGAGTGACGTGTTCTTCCCTTTTCTCTCCCACACAGGTCCTGGAGGCCACCAGGGTGAACCGCAGAAAGAGTGCTCTGGCGCTGCGTTGGGAAGCCGGCATTTATGCCAACCGGGAGGAGGACGAATAACCACCTTGCAGCGTGAAGAACAGTGACGAGGCATGCCGAAACCAAAAAAAAAAAAAAAAAAAAAAAAAAAAAAAAAAAGAAAGAGAGAAAGGAAGGAAGGAAGGAAAAAAAAAATATCAAACACAAAAACCACCACGAAAGCAGCAGCAGCAGCATTTTTAGTCCAATATTTATTAAACACACAACAAACTCAGTGATGCACATAGACACAGAAAATGATCCGACTCCTGGCAATCCTAAAACAACAACAGGAAAACCCCACCTAGAAAATACGCCCTTCTCCTTTTCTCCATCCCCTCCTCTGAAGTGGTGCGAGGGGGAGGGTGCAGGGGGTGGGAGCCATCGCGGCGTTGAGGGGGGACAGGGACGGTTGTCCCCACACAGTGGAGAGGCTGCAGGTATATGGTTGGAGGTCAGCGTGGAGAAGCCTGCAGAGCTGGGGCTCAGGCTGGTGCTTCCTGCTAGCCAAGTTGACCACTCTGCCTTGCCCCCGGGACCACCATCTGTCTGTCTGTGTCCCCCCTCCCCAGCAGCTCCCTCCCATCGGATGCTCCTGCGGGTCCTTCGCCTCCCAACGCCGCGCCGAGACCGACAGCGTTACCCCGGCACGCTCTGTCCAGCCACAAAACACCACGTGGCCCTCTCGTTGCTATTTCTTTGAGGGCCCTGCAGGGTTGGGGTTTGGGATTAGGGTGGGTTTTTTTTAGGGGAGTGGGTTCTGCTCCCCCTTCTAGTAATTTATCTGTTTAAATGGGAAAAAAAAAAAAAAACAAAAAACAAAAAAACACCGATAAAAAAACAACAACAGGGAGGCAGTTATTGCAAATGTACAATCCAGTAGACTCAGTAAAACAGTCCTTGTGTTGCAAACACAAGCCATCACAATTTAGGAGTGGAATAGATGGGGATGAGAGCTAAGCCAAATGGATTAACTTAGCTTTAGGATCCTATACGCTTGCAATATCACCTGAGCTCCAGGTTCTCAGAGCATATTTACGTAACAAAGTTTCTAAATAGAAAATCTGTATTTAGCGGATGACAACTATTTTTTGATGGTGGGGAGGGAAAAGAGTGGCATATGTGTAAAATCTATGAAGATGGATGATTTGAAGTAGAAAGGTAGTGGGAAAGGGATACAAATAAAGGACATTTAATTTTTAAATGACGCAATAATTGAACTAAGCCAGACTCTGGCCTAGAAAGAGGTATGAAATAAAGAAGGAAGATAGTTAACGTCTTCAACTATATTTATACAACATAAAAAGCCTTTGAAGTAGAGTGCTTTGTGGAAGGCTTCACGTTTCCAGGCAACATAAAAGCTAAAGGGCATAAAGAGCTGCGAGGAGCGAGCAAGGGAGAGCAAGACAAGGGAAGAAAACATCACTTTTACCATTCAACCAGTGTTTTCAGTGCTACAAGCAAACCGTAGAGCCTTTAGTTACTGCTTAGGCTTGGGATCAGCAGTGAAGGATTAGTGTGGATCTGTGTGTGCGTGTGTGTGTGCGTGTGTGCTGGTGTGAGTGCAGGCGTGTGCGTGGGGCTGGCATACCAGAAAGGGTATTCCAGTGCGTGTGCTGATTATTTTCTCCAGAGCTGTTTACCAGCTGTAGGGGTGAGTGCTAATTTCTTTTGGTTGTTTTGTTTTCGTTTTGTTTTTTTTTTTTTTTTTTTTTTTTTTTTTTTTTTTTTCTCAAAGGGGATATAAAAACAAGGCACTGAGTTAATGCAGTATTTGTGATATTAAAATTTGACCCAACATGGTATTTGCATGAGTCACAATTGCAAAGTATTGACCAGTTTTGTAAGCTGACAATTAGGAAAAGAAATGTGGTATTTATTCTTGTGCTTTGTATTTGTACGTAGTATAGAGGCTGCGGGTTTACTCTTTCTTTTCACGCAAGCAATACAATAGGAGTATTTTACAACTGGGAACCATAATTTCTGGATTAGAAACCAACAAGTTTGGGAGATGACAGAAAAAAAAAAAAAGACAGCGAGCTTTTTTCTATATTAAATAAAAAAAAAATCTGTCTTTTTTTATAAAGAAACAATTATGATTTTGACATCTTTTTAAAAAATCATCAGCCAGGATACTGGTCCTCCCTTAAGCCTTTCCTTGGTTTCATGACCTGCTGTGCTGTTTTATCCTGAAACGGTGAGCTCATTTAGAATGAGTACCGATACTGTGAACATACTTCTGGTGCTTTTCTTAAACAAAGACAGAGCTTGCAACCAAATGATTCCCACCCCTCCCGTCTCCCCCCGCCCCGCTTCAGTTCCTCCAACATGTGATTTCTGTCCGTGGACACTAGCATTTTGAGGCTTATTTTCAGGGAATTGTAGCAGATGATACAATTACATATACTCGTTAACTCAGTTCTGTCAATTGTCTCCCCAAGTGCTGTTGAAGAGAAGAAAACCCTGCTGAACTGAGTGTGTTCACTGTGATAAAGGGCAGCGAGCTTATCTGAAGGATGCTCTCTAAACCCAGGTGCACGGGGTGGCCCCGTGCCTATGAAGGACTTGAGGTACCTAATGAAGTGGACCTGTTGCTCGGAGGCGGCCGTCGGCAGAGAGCTGTGATTCGCGTCTGCGGGCGGGTCGTGGCCGTTAAGACTGTAGGAAAATCAGCGCCGCGCTCTGCTGAGACCATGCCTCACTTAGCCACATCCCCGAGCTCTGTGCAGCTGCACCAAGAGGAGTCCTGGCTCCCCCCCAGCCTTGGGGGAAGCAGGAAAAAGGGGTTTTTCCTCAGCAGAGGAGACGGCCCCTCTACTTGCGATTGAGGTGGTCTTGCACCAAACATCGCTCTTCAGAGTTTCCTCCAATATTTGCTCCCTGAAACCAGGGCAGGACTTGGCTGCCTTCCCAGGAACCTGCATCTTTATTTTATTTATTTAACCTGGAGGCTTTTTCTTTTTTTTTTTCCCCTCCTGCTCTCTCACTGGGCGCATTGATCACAAGACATCTCTCCACTCTTTGCCACATCCTTCCCTACCACCACAGTCAGCCCTCGGCCTTGGGAGGGAAAATTAAATGGTTCCCCTAGAAAGGGGATGTGGTGGCGAGGAGAGGCCAGGCGGGAGTCCTCTGGGCTAGAAGCATTCGCTCACAGCCCCTGCGACAAGAGTTACTTGCGTGTGTCAGTGCAGGACAGCCAAACTTTCCATCCAGCAGAGTTTTTCTCTTCCAGAAATTATGGACGCTCGTAGCCAGCAGCACACACTCAGTGCTGTGGTAACACGAGTGCGGTGCAGTTTACTTGCCTCTGTTATTTCATTTGCATGCTACCAAGCTTAGGTGTTTATAAGTATACGCCAGTAATACATATCTATCTATATATAACTATTATCAAATGCAACAAAAGAGCACTATTGCAGAGTTAACTTTGTCTCCACAAAAGAAGCGCTCAGATCCTTTCCCGTGGCAAAGACTGGTTTTAATGAAACTGTGTATTGAGAAATAGTTAAGCATTAGCATTTGTGATTATAATCACTTTGGGGTTACAGTGCAGGTTTTCTGAACAATTCGTTTTAAAAGCTGCCAGTTTGGGCTTCATCTTGCTCCGTACTGACATTATCTGAAGGAAAATACAGTAGCATTGACATGTTTGGCAACCAAAAGGCGGCATCCTTGTCATGACTTATCAACCAGTTTCAACAATACCTGGCTTTCTGTATGTTAACCACTTAAATGTTATCCTGCTTCTGTTTTATAGTGACTGTGAGGCCTACAATGCAAGTATATAATTATTTTCTCATTAAAACAGAAACCTGTGTTGTGTTTCTATACAGCTGCCTGTTTCTTCATGTGTGCCCCCCACAAGCTGCATGTGGCTGGAGGAGAGCAGCTCCTCTCCTGTCTCCCAAGGGGGTTGCTCTCCCTGCCTTGACTGCTTCTGGTTTTTTGCCTAGAGGCAGGAGAGATCTCTTTTTCTCCAATCAGTGTCAGCTGCAGAGAGAAGAGCATCCCTTAGAATTTTGTTTCCCATTAACATAGTTCTGGAGGGTTGCTGAGGCCAGATGTGCTTCATGATGAATTGCAGGAGCTTTCTTACCTTGCCTCCTCCATGCCCCTGCCATCCCCCACTGCAAACCACATCCTTTAAGCCAGTTCTCCATTTCTCACGTGCCCAGCCACAGCACAGATGCTTGCCCATTGTCCTCACTCCCCTTTCATGGCCAGCAAGACCAGGAGAAACCCCCCCATCCCTCACATCCACTGTGAAGCTGCTGTCACGTTTGCCATCAAAAGCTGTAAGGTTCTGTGGCACCGGGTGCATGAACCAGAGAGGTTCACACCAGCCTCTGCTCCTCCCTCTGCCAGGAATAATCAAGCATGTAATTGCAGCCTTGCTCTACAGCCCTCAGGAGCAGGAGGACACCAGTGATTTCGGTGGGAGTTGACCAGAGCCAAGTGCAGCCACTTGGTCCATACTCTCCCACCACATGAGACCTCCCCTCCATTGTGCACGCAGTGTCAGAGAAGTCAGATGTAGATTTCCTTTCCAGCTAGAAAATACTGCTGGAAGTCAGAAAACGGGCTAGAAAACAAGCCTGATAATTTATCCACCAATTCTGGTCTCTGTGTGTATGAAGAAAAAGATGTTACTGTCTTTTCAACGCACAAGAGGCTTTCTGTCATCCTCTGCCTTTCCTTACTCGGTGCTAAGAGGAAGAGCGTATTGGACTCGTTGGCACACAGTGGGAAAGGGACCCCCTTCTAGACATCTCCTTTGGGTTTTATGAGAATTGAAAGCAGAAATTGGACATTCTTAAAGGAGCATTTAGGCGTTGCAAAACTAAGGCTGTGACGCCAGTGGGTGGCAGCAGCTCAGGAATTTTTGCAATGTGTTCTGCTGTTACCAGCGGTTGGTATTTGTTTAATAACACACACTTAGGACACCTAAAAACTCTGTCACCCCGTTGCGTAGTCAAAATGGCATGCACCAAGCTTTAGAGTATTTTTACAAAGTAATTAAGAGCTATACAAGAGCTATTTTATCCCTCATTTCTGGTGTAATCCCATATAAGGATGTTTCTCTTCTATTAGAAGTTCTAGGTGGCTTTAACAGGCCTCAGCAAAATGGGAAAGCAAATGGAGAGGCAAAAGATCTCCTCTGCAGAGACAAGTTTGATTAAACTGCTTTTAAAGGAAGGAGAACATTCAGCACAGTGTTTTTACTTGTGAGTGGGAACAGGATATTAAAGAAAACCCACCACAAATGGGGTCTGTAGTGTAAGAAAGCCAAGCCAGAGCACCACAAACTATCAGGGGAGGGACCGGACCAGGCAGGACCAGAGCTACAAATATTAAAATGGACATGAACACTAAAGATGACTTTTTCAATTATGTTCTGTTTATTGAGTTGACTAGGACAGATAGTCCAGGAAACTACTGGCAGTGTGTGGGTCCAGTCCTGCACTCCTCCCCAGGTTAAAGACTGAAGAGCATCCCAGTGTTTCACATGGGCAGGGGCTATCCTACTACATGGAGTTGGGGAGAGGAAAAACAAACAAACCATTAAAAAACTAACAAACAAACAAAAAACCCAAACAAGAGCAGAAGAAGAAAGAATGCCATCCAGATCTCAGTGTCTGCTGCTAGCTCTGGCTGAATCCTGATTAACTGGCAACATAACCCATTGCTTTATCAATGGGGTCTCCAGGAAGGAAGCTTTTAGGGTAAGCAGTAAATGTGTCATTGGTGTGACAGGCCCTGCTCAGTCCCAGGAACATGTCATCTCCACAGTGAATTCAGGGCGATGTGTCACCAGGAGCTGGAAATGTGTCGGGCCTTGTTCCAACCCAGAACATGGCAGCAGCACCGAGAAAAATTGATGGCGGGGACAGAAAAAATAGTGTGCAAAGCTACTTTATGGCATTATCCCTAACTGTGAATGGCACGGGGAGATTTGTGTGGCAGCAGTGGCACCTGGAGGACAGATTGCACTGACCTTGGGAAGACCATGTCCAAGGTTGGCCCCTGGAAGCCAAATTCAGGGAGCAGCTGATATCAAGGACAGATGTGCTAACTTTGGCATCAGTCTCAGGGGCCAAACCCACTGCTATGGCACCCGTGTTACTAATGCAGCAAGCCCTCTTCGGGTCAGGAAAAGAACCATGGCACATCTCACAGGCTTCCCAGGGAGAGATAGTTGGGATGGGGACCCCAGAAAATGCCGCTTTGCCCTGGGCATGCCTCCTCCCATAATGAGCTTATGGGGTGCACCAGACCTCCCAGTCATTGGGAGCAATTGCAAACTTTGGGGCTTTCAGCAACCTGGTCTAGTGGAGTGCCCCCCCATGGCAGGGGGGTTGGAACTCCATGATATTTAAGATCCCTTCCAACCTGAACCATTCTATGATTCTAAATGGTCTCCCACAAGCACTTCTTCCTCTTGTAGCATCTGGGAAAGATGAACTCTCTCGGCTTCGTGTTAAAATAAGCATCAAGTCATAAGCTGCAACTGAAAGACAAAGAGCCAGGAAAATGCTAGCAAAAGCACATGGATAATGACATAACCCTAGCGAAGCAGCACTTTCACAGCACTCCTGCAAGGCTTCAAAAGCACTGCAAACAAATAATAAGCCATTAGAAAGGAGGGAAGAGCTCAGGTCTCCCGGAAGAGTCATCTCCATGGAGAAAGGTGGAGTTTCCTGATACACAATGGGAATTGACTTGCCAGGCAGTTTTGTCACACCCACATTGCATGGAGGAGGCTGAAAGTATTCAGCCCTACTTAATTGGAGGGAAATAAGGAAGGTGCTAAAGTAGGGCACTTGCTCACTCCCTGGTAGGGCTTGTTTGCTTCTAGGAGCATGGCTTTGGGGTACAGCACCAGCCCAAGGTAGATCCAGACTTTCGCAGTACTACCCTTTCTGCTCCTTGCCATCTTCTTGCCCTTTGCTGTTCCCTTCTGGTTTCCATATGATGCTATACAGGCCCAAAACATGGCTGGCTTGGGGCAGCAAGGCTAGATGGCTCCCACAAGCACAGGTATCTCATCCTCCTTCCGCTGAGGCTCATGGCATAGAGAAGACCCTCAACCAGACTGAGTCCCCAGCCACACAGGTTCCTTACTGACCACCATTGCAAGGCCCTATCAGCCTCCAGTCAGGCTCCCTCCCAGGCTGGTTTCATCTCCTGAGGTATGTAACTGGATTTACACTCCTTTGCCAAAGCACCCCCTGGAAGATGGATAAACCGAGACCCATGAGATAAACATTAAGTGGACCAGATCCAAATGTCCTAAAGCACTTGGATACCTAAATACCTCTAAGGACCTTGTTTTTTGAGAGCGACACAGCACTGAACTCAGCTGGAAACCCATGGACCGAGCTTGTGCCAATGCACTATAAAGCGATGTGGGTATGTTAGTGGGGTTGATTTGAAAAGGTGTTGGGGGAGAGCCAAGAGAAACAACCTTCTCTTGGTTGCATTACTCATGCCCAAAAGGGCATTATTACAGCTTTTCTTTAACGCTGTGTTTGAGGAAAACAACTGAGCCAAGCTCCAGCCACAGAGTGCTGCAGAGAAGGCAGACTGGGCTCAGATGAGGTGGAGAGGGTTGTTTTTAAAGAGAAAGTTAATTGCAAGTTGTGGGACTTGATGTGTAAAGAAAGTGAGAATTTCTGGCAGGAATGGAGAGAGAAGGGTATAAGTAATGCAGGTCAGAGGGGAGCGGTATAAACAGTGAAAAACAGAAGGATAAATAGGGGAAAATCTTGTTGATGGGAATTCTTCATGCAGGGAGCCATTTCTGAAGCTAGCTGAGAGAACACTCAGACAATGTTTGAGTAGGGATGGAAGCTATATGGCAAAAAGCATATTTACCCAAGCTTTCTGGAAACCAGACAAAAAAGTCTGCCAGTTACAGCGTGGGTCTCACATGCTGCCAGGTCTGGATGATGCTGGTGCAGGTGAAGATTCAGCTCAGCTGTCCTTCTTGGCCACTGTTTGCTGAGTCAGTCTTCAGCAGAAGGGAGGCAGGAAATAGCTGAATGATATCATTGCTCTTGAGTCCCATAATTCATTGACATGCAGACTCTTTGAGTTTATAAATTAAAAGATATGTCAATATAATCTGTCTAAGCTTTGCAGGATGTTTCCAATGCATTTATTACTGAGATGCCCCAGCATTAAAGGATCGAAACAGCATTTCAGTCCCCCAAAGGGCTTTATTTTTTAAATCTTGCTTCATCTCTTGTTTCTTTCTGTACAGAAGTATTAAATCAGTGTGGTTTTAAATGTCAGGGAGATCAATCTCTCAGTTTACTCTGTAGGCACTTGCCTGCTTTGCCCTAGGCTGCCCTGCCTAAGTGTCCTTGCAGAGGGTGCCTGAAAGCTCATGGCCAGTCACGACTTGTTAGCTGGCATCTTGGAGGTGACATCCAGTGAAGTGGGATAGATACTGGGGACAGATAGTGGTATTTGAAAGTGGTGGTGTGGAAGTGCATCACATGTGGCGATGAATGACGTGGGCCCACATCACCTGCACGTAGCCCAAGCCTTGCAGCAGCAAAGCAACCTCCTCTACAGCAGAAGAAGAAAAGCAAGATCTTTTGGAGGGAAGCACATACGCTTGACATGGCCCTCAACCATGAGCTCTTGATTTTCAGCAAACAAGAATGTCTCAAGTCCTGCAAGATCATCAGGCATTAGCAGTCACTTCAGGAGGTGGCCGCAGCTGTCAGTCCACCTTTCAAGGGTATCACTGGCACTCAGCTGGTGACCAAGGTGCACCGTGCAAAGCCATGCTGCAATGGGTAAAGCTGCTGGGAGATATCTC